ATTTGTAGACATTCCCTCCAATGTACTCCTTCCTTCCTTCCTTCTTCCCTCCCTCCCTCCCTCCCTCCTTCCTTCCTTCCTTTCTTTTTTTTTGAGTTGGAGTCTCACTCTGTCACCCAGACTGGAGTGCAGTGGCTACTCCCGGCCACCACAGCCTCAAACTGCTGGGTTCCGTTGAAAGGCGCAGAGAACAGTCAGAAGGGCATCCCCAAAATGGTGCTGCCTCCCAAAGACAACAAAGGCCCTAAGCTCTTGCTTTTCCCACACACACGGAACTTAAACCTGTGCTCAAACAACCTCTCCCTATAGGAATACTACCTCATAGTCTCCTCCAATAAAACCCAAGCATGGCACTGGCCAGCCCCTGCCAGGCCCAAGCACGGCACTGGCCAGCCCCCGCCAAGCCCATAAATACAGCCCTCTCTCGCTCTCTCTCTCTCTCTCTCCCTCCCCAACCCCGCGGCTACAGACCCTTTTCCTTTTTTCCCTGTACCCACTGCTTTAATAAATCTCTTGATCCCTAACGGGTGTAGAGTTGTTACTGGCGCCTTAGTTCTTTCAACCATGACCAGCGAATTTTTTGATTTATTGTAGAGATGAGGTCTCACCAAGTTGTCTGGGCTGGTCTCAACCCGTGGGCTCAGGCAATCCTCCCACCTTGGCCTCCCAAAGTGCTGGGCTTATAGACAAGAGCCACCCCGCCCAGCCTAAATATCAAATTTTGAAACCCAGTAAGACAACTCTTCATACCAAGACTTCTGAATGCTCTACAGGACCAACTTAAAAAAAATAATTTTCAATAATCTACAAACATGTTTTACATGTAAGGGACTAGGACATTACTTGAAAATGAAAAAAATGGCTGAACATGGTGGCTCACACCTATAATCCCACCACTTTGGGAAGCGGAGGTGAGAGGATTTCCTCAACCTGTGGGTTTGAGACCAGCCTGGACAACGTGGAAGGACTTCATTTATATAATTAAAAAAAAATTAGGCCGGGCTCGGTGGCTCAGCCAGTAATCCCAGCACTTTGGGAGGCCAAGGTGAGTGAATTGCCTGAGCCCGCGGGTTCGAGACCTCATCTCTACAATAAATCAAAAATTAGCTGGGTGTGGTAGTGCGCGCCTGTAGTTCCAGCTACTTGGAAGGCTGAGGCGGAAGGATTGTCGGAGCCCAGCAGGTCAAGGCTGCAGTGGCCGGGAGCAGCCACTGCACTCCAGTCTGGGTGACAGAGTGAGACTCTGACTCAAAAAAAAAAAAAAAAAAAAATTAGCCAGGCATGGTGGCATGAGCCTTTAGTTTCAGCTACTTGGAAGGCTGAGGTGGAAGGGTTGCCTGAACCCAGCAGGTCAAGGCTGTTGTGACTGTGAGTGTGCCACTGCACTCCAGCCTGGGCGACAGAGTAAGACTTCAACTCAAAAAACAAAAAGTAAAAAGAAAATGAGAAAAATGTTAAAAATGAAAAAGATAATTAAGACTATATAGCTGGGCTCGGTGGCTCAGCCTGTAATTCCAGCACTTTGGGAGGCTGAGGTGAGTGGATTGCCTGAGCCTGCGGGTTCGAGACCTGCCTGGGCAACTTGGCAAGAGCCACTGCACTCCAGTCTGGGTGACAGAGTGAGACTCCAACTCAAAAAAAAAAAAAGAATATTTAAAGCTGGGTGTAGTGGCTCACACCTGCAGTCCAGTACTTTGGGAGGTGGAGGTGAGAGGACTGCTTGAGTCCAGGGGTTTGAGACCAACCTTGGCAACTTGGCAAGACCTTGTCTCTACAATAAATCAAAAAATTAGCCAGGCATGGTGGTGTGTGCCTATAGTTCCAGCCACTTGGAAGACTGAGGCAGAAGGATCGCCTGAGCCCAGCAGGTGGAGTCTCCAGTGGCTATGAGTTTGCCACTGCATTCCAGCCTGGGTGACAGAGACTTCAACTCAAAAGCAAAACAAAACAAAACAAAAAACCCAGCATTTCAAAGTGAGAAAATCAGTCTGTAGAGATGAGGTCTCACTCATCTCTGGTATGGCCGAAACTATATTAATAAAATGACTTAAAAATTCATGCCCAGCAGGTTGACTTAAATGACTTAAAAATTCATGCCCAGCAGGTTGAGGCTGCAGTGGCCATGAGCATGCCACTGCATTCCAGCCTGGGCAACAGAGTGAGACTCTGACTCAAAAAAAAAAAAAAAAAATCAAATTCAAAATCAAAAAATTATGCCAGGCACAGTGGCTCACGCATATAATCCCAGCACTGTGGGAGGCCGTGGCAAGAAGAATGCCTTAGCTCATGAGTTTGAGAACAGCCTCGACAATTTGGCAAGAACTCATCTCTACAATAAATAAAAACTTAGCTGGGTGTGGTAGCATGTGCCTGTAGTTGCAGCTACTTGGAAGGCCGAGGTGGAATGATCATCTGAGTTCAGCAGGTCAAGGTGTGGTGGTCGTGAGCACTCCACTGCACATCAGCCTGGGTGAGAGAGTGAGACTCTGACTCAAAAAAAAAAAATTAGACAGGCATGGTGGCACTCACCTTTAATTCCAGTTACTTGGAAGGCTGAGGAAGAAGGATTGCCTGATCTCAGCAGGTCTAGGTTGCAGTGACCATGAGTGTGCCACTGTACTCCAGCCTGGGTAACAGAGTGAAACTCTGACTCAAAAAAAAAAATCCCCCAAATAAAAAAATAATAAATAATAATTATTGGCCAGGTGCGGTAGCTCATGTCTATAATCCTAGCACTTTGGGAGGCCTAGGCGAGAGGATTGCTTGAACCCAGAAGTTCCAGACCAGCCTGGGCAATATAATGAGACCTCATCTTTACAAAATATACAAAAATTAGCTAGGCATGGTGGCACACACCTGTAGTCCCAGCTACTTGGGAGGCTGAGGCCAAAGGATCACCTGAGCCCAGGAGGTTGAGGCTGCCGTGAGCCCTGATCATGCCATTGTACTCCAGCTTGGGCAACAGATTGGGAAGGAAGGAAGAAGGAAGGAAGGAAGGAAGGAAGGAAGGAAGGAAGGAAGGAAGGAAGGAAG